TACTACTACTAAAAAAATTTCCACCTACATAGGAACCTACATAGTTATCCCGTGCGGACCAGCCCGGGTACAGCTGCATATGAAGCTGTCGTTCCTTTCTTGCTAGTTCATAGTATTTCGCTTGTTCTTCTCTGGATAACGCGTGCCACTGAGGTAAAGAAAAGAGAAAAAGACAAAATGAAAAGCACAAGTGTGGTTTTTTTAAGCACGTTAACAGCAGAGTATATTATTTATATATAAATACATCAAGAGTTAATTTTCATTTAAAAAAAAAAAAAAAAAGAGATAAAAACAGATGATCTGGCATGCTGCCATTCATATTTTATTTATAACTCCAGATTACAACTCCAGTAAACTCAACTGAGTCACAACTTACAATTTACATTCACTCAGCCCCTTTGTCTCCTGACGAGATAGGAGAATTAAGAAAACTAAACAAAAAGAAAGAGCAGGGGAGAGGGTCCAGAAGCTGAACCACTTGTCCTGAGCCAGATCTCAGTTACAGGTTTACAGAAGGTCCCCCCCTCCTTTCCCCACAGGCACCCCGTCTCCTCTCCTGGCTCTCACAGGTGCCGATACCAGTACTGTACACAAAGGTTTTTTCCTTCCTCATTTACTTTTCTGCCTGTTTTAGGACAGCATAAGAATCTGAGATTTTTTCATCTATGGGTCATGGAAATAACACCGAAATAACACTGCTATTAATTAACTCCCCCTCCTCCCCATGAATGACCCCACTGGCAAAAAGTGACTGTGAAAACCAAAAAACAAACCAAGGCCTTTGGTTCGTAACTTCCCTACCCACTATCAAAGTATCAGGAAAACACAGCGATTCAGGAGGTGTGAATCCTACCGAGTTTCAGTCCCTGCTTGTGCTTCTCCCTTGTTACCTACCCTTCGACCAAGGATTTGGTTGATGGCCGCGCTCTCTTTCAATGTGCATTCTGCTACAACTTTTGCTCTCATTTCCTTCATATACAACATAAATGCATTAAGAGGTTTCTTTATGTGTGGCTTCTTTTTCTCTTCTTCTTTTTTGGAGTCCTGATGTTTTCTGAAGGGTAAAGATACAACAGACATAAACCTCACAGTGGTAACTCTTGTGAATTTATTAAATTAATCCCCTCAATCCCTCTAGTATTAATCCTCAGGCATTAGTCTCTAGAAAGAGGCCCAAAAGGTTCTCTAGGGCCTTCACCCTGGCTGCTGTATGAGAACAGTTTTAAGAGCATTATAAGAAAACCTCTCTCATATTAATGCAATATCACCCAGTACCCTCTCAGCCCCTAGAAGAACCTTGGAAGGACACTGGGACTCAGGAAAATGGGTTCATGGGGAGGGAGTATGAGCATGATGGTAGAGGAAATAACTACACCACATCGTCACTGGGAACTGAAATGCTGTCTTGCTGCTTCACTCGAGAAACGACAGGCAAGAAGCACCAGGGGCAGAGCTAGACCAGGGCTCTCCTCAGTTCAAACCTAGACTGGATACCAGCTCTCTCTGCAGCTCTGAATAAGCCATTTACGCTCTGATTTATTGTCTCCTGTTGCGTATGTGATACCTCACAGCTTCAAATCAGGCACTGAGTAGCAGGGAAACTGGTCAGGAAGCCTGAATCTTGGTCAAGAAAATTCCACTTCCTTGTTAAAATGAGGGAAAAGAATAACTACTTGTCTACATCACAGAACGACTCTGACAGACCATTACCATCATATTGACACACTTTGGTAGTTAAACCATGTTCAAATCAATTAGAACACAAGAGAAAAAGCAATTAAAAAAAAATATTTTACAGCAAAAACATTCCTACAAATCCAAGCCTTTTTAAAAGCCACGCATGCAGAGGTGATGCTTTGGGTGTTCTAATGATAAAACATGGGAAGCAACAACTTACGAGCTGTGGAGTGAGCCGACGTCACTCTGGGAAGATTCCTGTTTGACTGTTGGTGTGACTATGGCCGGATGAGGGATTCCAGTTGTATGTAAACTATGGTGTGGCGGGACCATGTGTGGAGGAAACCTAGAGGAGAGAAAGCTGTGTAAATCGTCAGAATAAAAATGAATGAATGGGGAGGGATGTGTACACACATTAAAAAAAAAAAAAAAGGCATATAACAAGCACATGACAGCTAGACAAAGCATATGAAAGCTGGCAGCATTAATTAGCAATAAATTAAACATAATGACTCTTCTAATGTCATTAAAGCCAATCTTCCCCTTCATTATCATTACTGACATGAGACATCATGATTTTTAACATCTTTAACAAAAGGCAAATTCAACTGGACGAACTTGGATGAAAGCGGAATTTCAGCTACCTGCAAGAAAATCCACCAGTCCATTTCTTTGCTAAGAAATTATCTGCGGCAACCAAGGAATCAATTTTTATAGTTCTGAATCATGTTGTGAATTTGGGATGACATCTTTTGTTGCATATTGACAGCAAAATAAAATATTAATGCAAACACAATCTAGGTGCATTTTTGATAACCCTTATAGATGCCTCATTAGCTACATTTTGTTGATGGAGCAAAAGAAAATATTTATTTGTGTCTAATAAATCTCTGAGTCACATTGTTTCAAGAGAAACAAGAGTGGGAAGATTGTGGAATTAAGTCAATTTCAACCCGTTAAGGTAACCTAGGAAGGCTTAAATTCATGCAAAATAACAGTCTAGCCTTTCTAAAGAGAAACAATGTTGTCAGCTTTATAGTTTATGGTCATATACATGGACAGGCCCCAGTCCTGCAACTGGATTTAGAGGGATGTGCAGTCCTTCTGCATGAATCTAATTAATCGGTCGGGACCACAGCACGGAAATGGCATAGTTGTTCAGACTTTGTACTTTTTAACCAAAATGAACAAACATCTGAAAAGCAGGATGGACTTCTTATCATTATTTCTCAACAGTCTCAGAAAGGTTTTGCAGTGAATAAGGAAAGCACACTACAGCTGACTGCCTTTCCCTTAGAAAACCTCCACTGAAGTCAACTGGTTTCCAGGGAATGTGATCGAGCCTAAAAATTAGCTTCAAAGTAACTTTCCCAAAAATCCAAGTCTAACGTGATTATGGCAAACAACAAGATTTTTTTATCACTGAAAATCCCTGCTCTCATCCCAGATTTTGAACCCATTTTGTCCAAATAAACTACCCCAAGAATACTGAACACGCAATAGGATAAAGAATTATTTCTTCTATCATCAATATACAATGATTTTTTTTCTATCAATCAGGATATAAAATGGAGTGATATACCATGGATAAGTAGACTGTGTACAAGTGTCAGAAATATAATGGGATTGCTTTATTTTTCTCTCTTATAAATTCCATTACTGAGCTTAACTCCCCCCAGCAACTGCCTAGACATTCCCTACATTCACCAGATGACAAAGTAGTACTTTCATGAACAAGAGGTACTGTCCGCCACAAGCTCTGAGGATCTTTGTCTATCAGCTGGTAGTACTCAGGATCATTAGACAGAAGCATTTTGTCTTTGAAGGCAGTGGTGGGAAGAGCAAGGACTGACAGGGAGAATGTGAAATTGTTCAAACTGTAGAGAACTGCAGCTCCTCCCAAAGGCACGGAGACAAGGAAAGGAGGAGGGTGTGATGGCAGGGGAAGAGGAGAACGGGCAGCAAAATGGTCATTCCTCCACGCATTTCTACTTCTGCTAAAGACCCATGGACACAAATCTCCACGTGGATTGTCAAAATGCCTTCCCTGTTCTCTGACAAAAGCAGCTGGGAAAGAAATGCATGTTTGGGGAAATGCTTTGGTGCATGGTAGGTCAGAAGAGAAAACAACAGCGAGGCTGCAAGGAGAGCAATGTCCTGGTCCCACTTATGCCACAGAATTGCCTCACCATCAGCAAGACACAAACTGGGCCTTTGTATCATTTTATTCTGCTCCCCCTCTCTCTATTTTTGTGTGCGTGTATATTTTGATTGGACATACTTAAAGATTGTTCACACAGTGCCTGAGGCCTTCAGCCATAGTACAACGCAAACAATAAAAACGGACAGTAAGAGCTATCTTTAAAAACATAACTTACAACCATGGGTGAAAATAAAACCCCGACCTCACTGAAAGTGGTATAAGCAGTGATAAAAAGTTGACACACATCCTATTGAACGACTGACTGTGCTAGGCAAGACCCAATGTTGAAGAGAGGCCTATGCTGCTGGGGCTAGCTAGGGTTCAAACTGGAACGAGAGCCAGTGACAACGGAACAATGAAGGATGAAGATGGAGACGAAAAGCCTACCTTCAGAGAGCAGGTAGGAAGAGCTGCATTTGTTTGACATAAGGACACAGTGGGAAGGGCAGTGGGCACAGACCAGAAGTAAAAAGCCGAGTGCAGTGGCAGCAGAAGGACAGAAGGTATGAGAGTGGACCTGAATAACATTAGACTCATCACTGGAGAAGGGCTTCCAAATATCACAAGAGACTGATTACAGCTGGAGTTAATGGGGACAAAACATGGTGCTTGTTAAGCTTCTGAAGAGGACTTTGTGATGTGGCAATGGTAACTGGGTCATACACCGGCTTCTCAAATGAGGATCCACTCAAAAACTAAAACATACTGCAAAATGAACTCTGCCTAAATGGTGGATCGTTGGATGGTCAGGACGTTCAAAGGAAACAAATTCAACAAAAGATAGGGGGTTATTTTATTCATTTATTTTTGATGAAGATTTAAGTACCTCCAGCTAATAAAAAAATGAGGAGGGTGAAGAAAATCTGCAAAAAAAAAAAGAAGTAAGTTTCCCCCTAATTATGGGAAAAATGTCTTCCCAATTACTGTTTAGGAGAAAGAGAGTAAGTATTTGCACATTGGAGAGTGACCAGATGGGGAGGAAGGGCAGTGGAGGAGGAGAAGCCTATACATGCATATTGTGTGAAAGCCTGGAGGATGGCGAAGCCTCCAATGACTTCAGCTGGGCTGAGATTTTACCCACTGAGCTCTAAACTTCAGAGACACAGCAACCTTCAAGAACAGGCAGCTGCAGCTCAGTAGTTATTTTCGGGGTGGCAGTTTCTCCAAGGAACTTGTGTGTTCGTTACCAATGACTATTCATTATTTCACGCTGAATCTCTCTCCCTCCAAGACACAAGGCTACCTAATGGACTTACACGCCCCTTCCTATGACTGGAGCTAAAAACATGACCCAGAACCCAAAGTCATTTGCACAATCCCATGGACTTCAGTGGGCTGGGTGGGGGTTTGGCCCAAAGTCCAAGTGCCTATTTACTTCCATGTAGACATCCACTCACATGGCAATCCGAGTAGGGGGAGAGTGTTAATTTTTAAGTTCCTGGCTACACTCCAACTTCAGTAATTACATTCAGCAAAAGTGAATTTCCCCTGAAATTTCAATTACAGAAGGTATTTTCCACTGCCACCACTTAACTGCTGTGCAGTGTTTGTCTGGTATAATTCTGTTAAATTATTTCCTGATTTCCTCTCATAGCAGTTGTTTTTTCACAGTCGGTCCACTGTTTGCCCATCAGTCAGTTAACCCTGTCTCAATTTACATTAAGAGCATATTACAGGGGGGTAATGAAGGATCAAGAGATGGTATGAGCGTGATGCATGCATACGAAGGGAGTGGGGCGATGCTACAAGCAGAGAAGAGAGTTGCAAATGGTTAAAACAACCTGAAGACACTATCTTAATAGTCTAAACCATTTATGAAAATCACTATTAGTCACCCATTAACCTTTTATAAACTATTCATAAGCACACTCTAACTAATGAACTCTAATTACTAAGCTTAGGGAATATTCGGGGTTGGGAAGCAATATATGCTCCAAAGGTCTATACCATAACGCAGGCAAAGATGGAAACCGCTTTTAAAGGAAGGCTCTGGAAAAATGCGGACGTGGTCTTGGGGGATGGAGGGGTCTGCCCTGACTTCAAGATCTGAGCAGAGCTAAGACAGCAACCCTGAGGCTTGTACCAGGGCTGTTGCCCAGAGACCAGCCATGACTAGCAGCGTGTCTGCAGGCAAGCGTGGGCATCCCCGGGCACGCCAGCCCCATCTCCCAACTACGCTGGCTACTCCGGGCAAGGGCTGTCCCACGGCTGAGCTCCGGCACTCCAGCTGATACGGTGGGCATGAGAAAACATGCGTCCAACCACGTATCGGAGCACAGTCTGCCCAGAGGGTGTTCCCATGTATGGGAAACCAGGAGAGAAGTTTCTGGGCTGAAACAAAGGATAAACATCTTAAATCTATTCATCAGGCTGTGTGTGCGTCTGAGCATGTGTGCGCGTACGGGCGCGTGTCAGAGAGAAAAAGAAAGGCTGTGTGCGTATATACACACCCCTCACCTTTGCCTAAGACATTCCCCCATATTTTTTTCTCTAGACAAGTATTCCATGAATTGCAATAAACACCCTAAAAATTCTAAGCAGCTCATTATACACCACTGTCTCCTTTTATGGCTCCAAGCCAGAATATAATGATGAGTCTTAACTTGTTAAGGACAACTAATTTTTTGTTCCTGGCTGTCTCAGGGGCTTCTCTCTTACTCACTCTCACTTTACTTCACTGTTGACATGTTTCTGTTAACTGGATGTCATCTGCCTGCCTTGATTTTATGCACAAGCAGTGGGATGCATTTTTCTGTGCAACAATTCTGCTTTGAGTTGCATTAGATTTGTCATTATTCTCTCATTTTCCCCTTGCACTTGTAACATTTCATCTATTCCTGCCTTATTTTTTGAGCCACGGTGCACCCACATTATGGTTTATACATGATCTTGCTCCCTTTGAAGCCGGCGGATTTCAGAGCCAGCCCTCGTCAGGAGAAGTGCCTGCTACCAATTTAGCAGGCTGAGGGCCCCGAGCTCCAACAACTCAATCTAAAGGGGGTCACAGGGTGGCACAAGCGAGTGTCAGCAAGTGCTGTTTAATTGCCAATCTAGGCTTCTCCATGGTGTTTAAAGTATAATGACCCATCACTTAATTCTGAGAAGTCCTGGCCCTGCTGCTGAATGGAATGAATATCAAAGGATGTGCTAGAACAGGGCAAGGAGCCTACATTTCCTATAACTGCCATAAGTATAATAGACCTCTACTTCTGTCGTCCCATTACCACAATAATGTATTTAATTTGCTGTGTACTCTTTTTAACTAGATACCTTTCATAAAGCCTATCTTGGGAATATAGCCTCCCCCCTCCCACATCTCCCCCCTCCCTCAAATGACTAGCCTCTCTAATAATAATTAAACTAAATCAAGCTCTACTTTGCCTCACACCATGCCTGCAAGTCTTTTATAGATATTAAAAAAAGATTAAATGGAGGGAGGGAACCATTGTTTAAATTTGCAGCGCTCTCCCCAGCCCAGGATTTTTTTTTCTCCCCCATGCTGGGCCTATTAATTTTTTTTAAAAAAGTTGATTTTCCAGTTGTCTCTCTATTTGCTGCAGCAACACAGGCAAATTTTAATTTTTGCTTTTACTCTACTTATCTAAAGCACACAAAACACGAATTTCCCTACCTATTCACTCACGAGCTCTAGTTACAGGTTCCCATTTCTCAATGAGGTGTGTTCCACCCCCCCCCAGTCTTTTCTTCCTTAAATCCTCTATACACCAACCTTCCCATATTAAACTGCAGAGAGGGAGAGGAAGGGACAAAGCAGGGAAGAGACGAGGAACTTTGCTATGTAATGCATGCTAATTTAATTATGTGCCATCATCAAAATGGATTAGCTGTTTCAGCCCATCAGGAAAGTCTAAACCTCCACCGATTTAATTAACCAGACTGAAAATCAGATGAACAGAAAATAAAACTATCATTAGGAGCAATTAGCGATTACTTAAACATAGTGCTGCCAACCAGTTTGTAAATAAAACTAGCAGCCCCTGGAAAATTAGATGGAATTAATTGGAGGTAGGGAGGGGGAGAAATATATACTTCTAAAGCTTTAGAGGGTCAGGCAGGCCCTTTTATGTTCACTATCAGTGTTTGGAGCTTTGGTAGGGGAAAACAGTGCAATAACCTTCCTCCCAACTCTGCTTGAAGAGCAGCCCTCCTCCCTGCCGAGCCTCCCCTCTCGCACACAGAGCGCTGCTCTGGGTGACAGCCACCGAGAAAGCAAAAGGTGTCACGACTTCTCCTTCTTGCTTTTTCAACATCGCATTCTCCCGGCTTTTTCATTTAGTTTGGCTTTTAAAGAAGACTTCCCACTCCACCACGTCTCTCTCCAAAACAAATTCTTAAAGCCCAATGACAGCACAAGGACACCTTTTTCTCCTCAAATGGGAAGGTACCCCTAGTCCTCTCCTCCTCCGCCCAACTGAACAACTAAGGGGGACTGTTTAACTGAAGTGCTTTCAGAAATATGCTTCCTAGACGAAGTGCCCTCCTCTAGAGAGGGCAGCACGAGGAGTTACATTTGCTCTTGGTTCAGGACCTCAGCATTTACACTCACCTTGACATGGAAGCATTGACGGTCAGAGCTGTTGGGTAAGGGTGGCGGAAACCCCCTGTCGTGATTGGGTACACTGGCTGACCTTGCCTGGCAAAAAAGAAGGGAAAGAGAGAATGAGAGAAAGAAAAAAAGGGTTTAAAAAAAAAAAACAACAAAAAACTTCTCTCTGCACAGTAAGCTTTATTCTCATTTGATCAGAACAAAAATCTTGGGGATTGTACAGCAAGGATCAAAGGAAAGAAACACAGAACAATTTGAATGCCATAAATCTGATAGGAATGGCTAATTAAATTTTATAACCTCTGCTTATGTCAATAGAGACCCTCTCCCCAAGCTGAAACTAGGTGTTTTGTTGTAATAATTAAAGGCGAAGTCTCGCTTGCTTTAATGGAGCCATCACACTAATTGAGGGCTACACATCCAAAGGAAAACAATAATGAATGTAAATTTATACCAAAATAAAGTACAGTGAATCAAAGGACTTCAGTTGCGCTTTGGGCCTCTTTCGGTATTTAGATCTCGGTGAGAAAACATTAAATTAACAGAGCTTAATTTGTAGCCTTTTGTCAGATTAACAAGTGTTGACAAGAGTTACCGGGGGAGAGTCCCCAAGAAGTATTGTGGGTAACCAATAGACAATCACACCTCATTACAATAATTAAAAAATACAGCAACATGCAAAACAGCATCCTCATGAAAGACACACAACTTTTTCTGATTGAGGTTTGTCTATGCTGGCTAGTTCTTTTCATCTGTCCTTCAAATATATCATCTGACTGGGCAGGATGCTTTCGGGGTTGGGGGGTACTATGCTAGAGACATGCAGGCCAGCTGAGGATAGATGGGTTGGGAAGTTGATGGTGAAGCATGAGTGGCAATGAGAGGGGAAATAAAAACCTTGGGTCGCTTCTGCAAAGTTGGCCATGTTGCTCTCCTAGAGCAAAAGCAAAGGTGATGGTATCACTCCTCAACAAAAACCACCCGGAGAAGCTGTAAGAGCTGTGGGTAGCGAAGTACACTATGGGTGTTGACTTGTTATAAACCAGCAGCGATGACAGAGTCTTCCTGTGACAGGTGGCGATTAGCACCTGGCTGATGAAACTGGCCACACACAGCAACATTTGCGTGGGTTTGGCAGCCATGACATGAGGTTCAAGGAGGACAAACCTGTGTCTACACACAAAGGTGGGAGGCTCTGAGATACAGATGAGCAATGAGGCACAGGTCAACGACAGCTGGGAATTTCTTCCCTAGGCTCTCATGTCTTTAATGCTACTGACTTTTGGCATAAGCTGAGTATATTTGTTTTAAATGCTGAGGCTGTTACTGTGCAAACTGTAGCTAAGCAGTTGCATCAGAGGAGCGTGAGCTGGCTGTACTGCAGCTAGGCCCTGCAAGCAAGAAAGAAGAAAAGGAGCTGACATGTTCTACCAGCAGTCAACGTCCTACGTAGAAAGTAAACCACCACAAATGAGGAGGAATTTAAGATTTCAGGGAGCAACGCCCTGGGTTTTTCTTCTGCTCATCCTGTGCCTTTCTGGAGAAACAGCCTTCTGCAGACAGCTGATGGACACGCTTCACCCTCAGAGTGGGACAGCCTCTACCCAAGCATGTAGCATGACCACCGTGAGAGGAAGGGCAGCCTACATAGTGTCCAGAAGCCACATGCTGAAGCCAATGCTGGAGCTCCAGCTCTCCTGCATCCACACTTCTGTGCTTCAGAAAGGCCCCCAAAGCCTTTAAGGCCAATCCCTCTCCCTGTCTGAGAGCTGGGGGTGTGTGGGGACCCCCTGCTCTGCCCTGCTCTCCTATGGGCTGCGAACTCACTGCCTTACGGAGGGCAAACGTTTTAGCACAGCTGGCAAAACAACCTCCAGCAGGAACAAACTATTTTTAGCTTTGGGCAATTCATTTCTAAAGAAATATGATCTCCCCAGAACTGATGAAGCCTGTTATATGAGAAAAATGGGGTAATAGTCCTGATTTGTAATGCAGAGAACCATTGTATCCAGCAATACAAATGTATTTCATAGGTATTTAAATCAAATATACTGTACAAAAGGCCTAGGCAGTGCTTAAGTGCGTTATAAACCCATTGCAGAGATGGCAACATTAAAAAAAAAAAAAAAAAGAAAAAAAGGACTCATTTACTGGAGGGAACCTCATACCCAACAAGGCTCTGCAAGTGGGATATGAGGAGCTGAAAAGAAAGCAAACCCCAAAACTAACTTTCCACAGCTTTTCTCTGAGCCACTTTTAAAGTAAACTAATTCCACCTCCTTGTTTGCAAGAAAATTCCATTCCTCAGATGCCAACTGCTCAGCCACGTCTCGACCAGGAATGCTGCTCACTGGCCGATGTAAAGCTCTACTGTTTCACAAGAAAAACGAAAGGGGTTTCAACGGGGAAGGCCAATAAAATTTAAAATTGCACATTTATAGCGAGGACGGCCCTAGTAAAAAAAGAGTCCGTGAGAATCACCCTGAGCCCCCAGAAAACCAAACTTGAGAAAAACCCACATGGTGGAGTGTAAGAGCATTAACAAGAAAAGGACGTTTCTGCAGAAGGGTTTAAAAATTCATGCTTCACGGGCCATCAGCTGGTTGAGATGACACACAAAGCTCTGTCCAACTGCTCATGTTTGTTTAAGACCACATGACCTGGCAGAAGTTTTAATTAATCTTCATGAGGTGGGTAAATTCATAACCACTCAATGAAGTGGTAGTTGGCAAACAGACTTATCTCAGTGCACACACACATGCGCGCACACACACACACAATTTTTAACATAAATTTTACACATCAAAAAAGAAAAAAGAAATTAAAAAAATGGAACTCCTTACTGTGGTACTAACCATCCTAGCGGATGGGGGATTTGTCCTACAGTGCCCGGTGATAACGGATAATAAGGAGATATATCTGGAGGATGTGGAGGCCTTGGAATTCCTATGGAAGAGGAACATAAAACAGTGTTAGTATTGAGATATAGAAATAAATAGAACATAAGGAAAAAGCACATATGTTTCTAAATTGCAATCTATTCATTTTTATTACAATACTCATGCCTTCACTTTGAATTTCCAAGGGTTGTTTCACAGTCTTGTTTCATAAAGCGAGCCTCTTGGCATCTTGTTAAATGAGATTCAACCAGAAAAACTGATGTGATTCACTCCTTCAGTCACCTCTCCAATCAGAGACAATTATTTTGTTGTCTGCGATGAGAATTTAGGAGTCTCAGCTATAGTTCTGGTGTGACACTGTGCTGGGTGCTGTCCTAAGCACTCAACAGAAAGATGGTCCCGGTATCAACTTCATGGTTATTTTTGTCTCAAAGTCACCAAAAGAGCCCAGGCCCTACCCATACTTTGACTGCGTACTCAATAGCATGGCGCTATTCCAAAGTAACCTCCAAAATGAGCTACAAAGTCATTATAATCGCAAATGATGTTTGCTTTTGAGCAAACCTAGGAAACCTTCCCAAAACCTAGAAGTGGAGGGGAGAACCCCTGGAAATGCTTGCTAAAACAGGGGGCAGACGCCAAAGGTGTGCAGGGGAGGACAGAGGGCTCATCTGTCCTCTAAAATTGGTGCAGTTCCTACTCGGAGAGCAGAAACCAGCTCCAGACGCAAGCCTTAAATCTTCGTGCTCCTTACACCTTAAGAGCAAGTAGGAATTACTCAGAGGAGTAAGGGTTACAAGACTGGGTCTTTCAATTAACGAGCCAGAGCACAATTACACAGCAGAAGCAAAATTAAAACAGAGAGCATTAAAAGGAAGGGATACTGTATTCATGGCTAAAACCTATTTTTTTAAGTCACTCAGGAAGCTTTTAATCTCTAAATTAAATCTCCTTGTGTGACATTTTCATGCAGACATTGCTTTTTCTCCATTACAAAACCCAAACAGATTAACTGGGCTTTAACCATCCGGCGAGCTATTTGCACACTTGAAAGAATGTTCACAGAAGAAAAGTAAACAGTCTACAGACGTTAATCATATGTTTTACGATAACCATTTAAAAGCTATTCCCTGTACTACCATTATTTAAATGAGAGGTTGACTATGCCACTCACTTGCAATATCCAGGGATGGCGAGCTGGATTCCTTTTAAGCCATGTGAAGTTAACATTAAACACAATTAAAAGGGGGTCCCCAATTGAAGCATGAGGAGTGAAAACCAGCTAATGCATGGCCTCACTGAAGGGCTGGGCTTTAGATAAATTATCTGCATACGTTAGGGCCGACACAGAGTGATTCCTTTGGCGTTAATTCAGTTTCTGATGTACTTTCCAATTAACTAGCCGGGATTCGGATTAACAAAAACAAAACCACTGTCACTTGGATCTCAGTGCAGCCCGAATAAAGAAGACTGACACCATCTGACTTCTCTGGGCCCTCAGGTTAAACAGGGACTCTTAAAAAGTTAGAATAACATGTAAATTCTACTCTATAACACCAATAAATCTAGTCAGGGTTTTACGCGGTGCTCTATATTCAAGACAACTGCCCTTCAGGCTGAACTGAGAGTTGGGTAGACTTACATTGGGGAAAAGGGTTGCAAGTATAGAGCTGGAGCTAAGTAGTTAGAGTGGATGAAAATTCAACATTATAGGAGGAAAATGGCTGAACTCCTGACACAGAAACAATGGGATTTGGGGAATTAAAAGAGATTCATTTTGAATCCGGTCATGACCCACCACCTTTAAAATTCCAGCTGCAATTTTGTAAGTGCAGATCACAGAACGTACATGTTTAACTCTCTGGGTCGTGCATGCAAACCAAGCACTTGGTAGGTCGAACTACTAGATGGGGTATCACGCTTGCAAAGAAACACACCTGCGAACGACCCCACACATGCAACTCTGGTGTCACCCTGCAGAAGCTTTATGAAAATTCACCCAGTAGGTTTCCTTCTGAAGCCTAATTGGCTTAAAAAGAAACTATTTTGGCCGTGTTCTTGCACATGTTTGACATTTTTACATGCCCCCTTTGGTGCTCCAGCACAGGAAATCCTTTCCTCCTAATGCACAAAAAAGATCCACTCACCCACTCGCAAAAAAAAAAAAACCCCAAAACTTTTTCCCACCTACCTGTTTTGGGATCTACGTCGGCTGGTAAGTGTGGAGGAGGGTTTCCCGGTGTGAAGTGCTCATTGCTGTACGTGATAAGCGGCGTAAGAGGGTGTACATGGTGTGGGTGCTGCACAACTGGCACTTTGTTAGACTGTCAAGAGAAAAAGGTCGATGGCGTTAGAGGAGTGCCGGTTACTCCTCACTGCAGCACCAGGCATGACATAGAGAAACCTGAGGGTTTCAACACGGTCCTCAGACTTTTCCAGATTCCTTCTCGGTGTCACCCTTGCAGTTTTCCTACCGTCTTGCTTAAAACCTCCTCACACACTTTCCTTGCTCTTGAGTTTCTTTAATCTTTTTGACCTGTCGTGCTCCTGTACGGAGCAACAGCAATTCTTTAAAATTTTTTCCTTTTTATTTTATAATCTTGCGCTTCACCTCGAAGATACAGGCAGACTCCTCAGTGAGGGGCTGACAGAGTCCCCCATTTAATTAGCACGAGACCCAAATGCTCACTGACCTGTAGGTCTTTTCCTTTCCCCTTCCTGTCCTCGCTTTCAGTTCTGCATTTTACTGCTCATTGCAAATACTCCAGATAAAAAGCCTTTGTAGTGCTAGAGTATTCCCTTCATCAGCAAGCATTAAGCTGACAAGCGATCACCTGCATATTTTATATATATATATTTTAGAAGAGCTGATTAATTATCAATTCATCAGAGAGCGGTAATAAATGGAAACTGGATACTGATGAATTAGGCTACTAAAATATTCAGCTATATAAATAATGGCAAAAAAAACCCAGATAAGGCCATTGAAATTAACACTCTTGTGGGGGGAATAATCGCACAGATATCATGAGATTTTCCCTGTCACATTCCTAGCTCTGGGGGGGAAAAAAAGAAAAAAAATCTTTTTCTTAACAACAATAAAAAAAAAGAAGAAGAGGAGTGAATGAATGAAAGGAGAAGGCAGGCTGAACTGTAACTTACCCTTACAAGATCACAAAGGAAAAATTAAGCTGAAACAAGCGAACTGCTGGACCATTTACTGCGAGTAATCCAATTGCAAAAAACCCTATTCCCCATAGAGGATTTTCACTAAAATCCTACAACAGGGACATTTAACCAGATTAGGTACCAGCAAAGATAAAGAGGCTGGTATTAGATGATGAATGGATTAGAGTCAGGTTTCATTTTAGAATGTGTCTTCATTTCCTTTTATTACTTTAAGTAAGGAACAACTTGCATTAACATCAAGTAAAAGGAATCACATTAAAATAAAGTAGTGATGCCACGGCGGCCCCCGATAGCGCCGCTGCCGTTCGGGGTCTGCCAGCATTCTCCTGCTCACCCTCCTGCCCGAGGCCGGCTCCCACCCCACTGCTCGCTCCCCAGCACCCCCAAACACGCGCCCGCGCTGTGCCGCTTTAGACAAACGACTATCTGATCTTGGTTCCAATGCTGTGAGCTTCCCTTAAAAGCATTTCAAAAATAATTCAGTTATTCTTTGAGAATGAGTTTCTAGACTGGGGGGTGGAGGGGTGGGGGGAAGAGGGAAGACAGACAGAGCGCTACAAGGAAGAGAAACATCAGTCTTCCCCCGAATAAACAGGACCCTCCATCGTGCTTTGGTCAAGCTAAGCTTCAGCTCTGGCTTCTCCAGCCCCCCGTCCCTGCCCTATGTAGCTATTTGACTCACCCCTTTGAGAACCTGCAGAAAAAGTCTACATCCAAGAGAAATGAGCTAAGTAGCAGTGCTTATGTTTCCCACAATTTGTACCCCGCGTATTTCTTTTTGCAGCCCTTCCATGGAATGATTCCCCTCTAATACCACACTTGTAGCACAGGAGACAGTCCCACATCGAGTGGCCACAACGCAGGACAGTGTGCAGTCGTGACAGCCAACGCTATGAATTACAGCACGTTGTGTTGGCTGGGTTGTAGGTCAGGTCTTCTGCCAGTTGTACAACCAAGGACAACTTTTGGCCACACAGACCCATAACGGTTTTGCATCAGGAGCTATGGGGCTTTAGCCCCTTAATTCAAAACGCCAAAGGAGATGCTCTAACCCAACATCCATTCTCTTCCAAGTGAACCAACCAAAGCAGTCTGACAGTAACTGAAAGGTTTGGGAAGGGCTTCACCTAACAAGCTGTATTACACACCATGCAAAGCAGCAGGCATCTACTCAACAACACATGACATTATATGCCAAACGACCACTTGATCTGCTTCACAAAAAACAATCATTCCCAATAAGAGGGACTTTTGCTGGTCAAGAATTGTGTGAATTCTTGCTATTAAGTGACACACAGTGTGGCTGGCAGCTGCTGTACCTCTGTGCTCTCCCAAGTCTATCTTCACATCATTCCAAAAAACCCTCACCCAGATCCTGACAGACATTGAGGGCTGTCTTCCATGGAGAGCTTATTTTTGTAGAAACTGGAACTGGTTAGTTAAAAAAATAAGTATGTGACAGAATAACATTAGAAGGTCTGACTTAAGCCAACAAACAAGAAACAACACGTGAGAGGAAAGCTGGACTTACACGCCCGTACCACCAAAGCCAGATATATTATAGGGGGTTACATGTAAACTGTGGGAAACTACCACCCACTGCTTTGATATACCAAAACCCCCCACAATATCTCCACATAACAGCACAAATGCCAAATTATTATGTATTTTACTCAACACCTTTCAGAGAAAAATAAAAAGCAAAAGAAAAAAAAAAAAAAAAAGAAGTTAAAAATCAACAACCAGGAGTTTGAACCTTAGTCTGCAAACTTTTCCCCAGGTAAGTCACTTTTATTTGGGTGAACACCCTGCACTCAAACAGACAATCCGTGTAAAGGTACTGGATGTAAGGACAGGATACTTTTTAGCCACCCTGATGATGCTGGGGCAGAGGTGTGGGGAGAATGCACTGGGGGAAAAGGGGAAACTGTCATCTACGTGCTCAAAAATACGCTTTCCGGGACAGAGGAGTGTGATCCACCGCCCCTGCAAATCAGTGTGCATCTGTATCACTACCCCAGGCTAGGTTTGTATTCTGCACTGTTTATCACACACTGGGAACAGGGACCGTAAGTCTGCTCAGAATAGCACACGCAATTTGCAAGCCAAGCTAATGATGCATAATATGCTAAATACGCTGCTCTCTAAAAGCAGCATTCCTGAAGTTAACTACGCTTCCTTGGAAAAGAGAAAAAGAAAGGAGTAGCTGGGAAAGAGCAGGATTAATCCCACACATGCATCCTCCTTTGAAGTCAATGGGAGCTCTGCCTGAGTAACAAGTGTGGTCCTAACCCCATCCACTGGCAGTGAAAGGTAAACCACACAAGCCATCAATAGGAGACACCTATTAGGTGACCTTAGCCGTCCCTCTGCAAAAGGCCCTTCTCCAACATACATTTGCGAGTACTTTATCAAGGGTAGTTTTAAGCTAAAAGCCATTGTGAGATGCATGAATTTCTCTGGCAACTCGAAGAACTCCATTTATGGCCATGTAAGGCCCAGAAAGGGGAGCTGCGCTGGTACGCACAGATTAGCATCAGGGCATGTGGTAATAGGACGGGAACAAGCGGAGATTTCTAGACAGAAATCCCAGCATCTACAAAGTACCAAGTCATCTGCTGATAAATCACTCCTCTCCACTGAAAGCTGGGGTCTCGTACGCTGGGTTAGAGGGCACGGTAAAGAACTGCAAAAAAACAACAGAAGTTTGCTTTTCTTGATAACCCCCGCCTGAAGCAAACCAGAGGAAATTGTCCCCACAGGGACTCAACTACTAAATCTCTCTATATGAATTTGAAATACTTCTGGGAGTGCTTAAATACGGATGACTTTAAGCAATAACGGAGCTCTGGAATGGGGGGCGGGGGGAACAACTACCGCAAGAAATTTTGGACTGATGTATGTTTGAGAGGGATACTGAGATCCATTTAGCCTAAGTTGTGATAGGTGCCTTTAGGGAACAAAAAAAAAAATATCTGAACTTCAGATTTAAACTGCAGGGGATTGTGTGTATAAATTGCTGTGTATTAGTCTTTGTTGCATGGTAAGGACATTTCATTAACAGGATGAAAGATGCTTCTATGCGTATACAGCCCAATTTAATACACCCCACTGATGAATACTCCCCGTTTATTGAAGAAGTTAATACATGCTGTATAAATCAATAGTTCCCAAGTCTCTGAAAGCAACACAAGACTTGCACGAGATGAAACATTGTATTGTTGAGCACACAAAGAGGAACCAACCTTTAAATAGGAAGAGTTTGTTACTGCAATTTCTGTTTGCAAATTCATAGCTTGTTTGCCTTTGGTAATAAAAACATGGTATCAACTGAAGTCAGAGAAAAACATGCCAGAGAGGCCAGAGGATTTGTCCTCGCCAGGTCAATGTGCTGTTAGTAAAAGCGGGTGTGAAGGGAAAAAAAAGAAAAAAGAAAAAAGCCACCCAGTCGGAACACAAGCCATCATGGCAATGCAGCATCGGTGCAGCCAAAGCCTTCGGCCTCAGCAGAACGGCCGGCAGGAGACCCCACCAGGACGCGTCCCCGGCCGAGCCGCCACAGGCAGGGCAGGGGGGATGGATGCTTCTGCTCCAGCACAGCCCGGGACTCCCGCAGCCGGGGACAGACCCCCATCCCCGACCCAGGGTGACCTTTTAAGTGTACTTAAAGCCTCAAGCCCTGCTCGCCAGGCAGGGATGGGCTACCACCCGCCAGGCATCCCCCGACCGACCGCAACTGGGATGGACTGATCAAGCCCTTGTGCCCCGGACCCCTCTCCCCTTCCTCCTCTACGGGTAAGGGAGGAGGAAGGAGAGCTCGCCATTCACCATAAAACCTATTAATCAACAGACACTGAAAACAAACGGAGCTAGAGCTCCGCCTGCCTTTTTTGCCATGTTCTCCTCTTCCCCGTTTCCCCATTGCTTTTCCTTTCTGCTGAAGAAAGATGGGCCCTGGAAGTGCCTTTATAAGCCTAACACAATAAAACAAAAGCAGCACAGGAGAGGGTTTGTCAGCTTTTTCCCCTCCTCCAGGGTGGATGCAGAAGGTCGACAGTGGTCTTGAATTAGCAGGCCCTCCTGGAGCTGCTCCCCGAGCTTAGCAAAGGGTGCCGTTCTATGCCAGTTCATATCA